CCTCTGGTTAGTTATTAACACTTCTTCTTTAGGAGACCCAAACCAAACCAAACAACAACGTTCACCTTGGACTCTGTCAAAAAATAAATTGTTTTTATTGTTTTTCCAAAAAAGAAAAAAAAATCAATTCGTGTCTGTCCTACCAAAAAAAAAAACCAATAGGATAAATAATTAGTGTGTACGCGTCGATCATATCACAAAACTTTTTCTTTTTTTCTTTAGTAAAATGTCATCGAAAAATAACAAAAGAAAAAAACAAACTGAAGCAGAAAAAATCTGCGGGTAAGTGTTTTAAGGATGGTGGTGGTGGTTATCGCCCGCCACTCGTTGTCACTCTAGTTTTTTTGAAAAATTGGCACTATAGTTAATTATAAACTTTGTTTTTACTTAGTGTAAATGAAAAAAACAATAATAAAGAAAACAATAATGTGAGAATTCATTTCAATAAATTATTATTTAATGTTCAATATTAGGTTCTTTAAAACAATTGTTACCTGTAAATATTCTAGGATGTCATATCTCTTAATGGACTTTCTCGAATTGAAGCTTTCCACAAAGTAACTAATCAACTAGTAAAGCAGAAGCTAACCCTACAAAATGGCGATTTAGAGAGCAATCATACAAAACATAGGCAAGTATTTAGAGGGTACATGTTGACTGATAATGTAATATATACATAAGTTTCTTTTCTCAAAGCTTACATTGTTGATATGCATACAGATCAAAACCAATAAATGAAGATGATGAAGATGTGTATTATAATTTGGGAGAAGTTGGCGAGAGTGAAATCACACAGGTATTTTGACATTTGCTACTTGTTATGTTAAATAATTATGCCTAATTTTCTAAGGCGAGGTAAAAAGTTACTTTCCTCCAATGGTTGAAATATTTATAACTACATTAATGATTAGCATGAAAAAATTAGCAGTTGTTACAATTATGTGTGCTAACTTTAAACTTTTTAATTTCAGAGTGAAAAAAATACAATTGGATTACGTAGAATTTCCACTGAATTAGGGCCTTCTCCTCAAGAACAATTAAATTTATTGTGTCAAATAAAAGAAAGTGTTCCTAACATTTGCAAGAATTGTTGTTCAAAAATCAATAATGATGAATTAATAAATGATGACTTGTCTGATGACGAATTAGATGAAAGGTACTAAAATAATTTCAACAATGATTACGTAACCAATAATTTTAATAATAATAAACTAATTTTATTGAACAGGTTAATCGAAGCAAATATAATAAATATCAGCGCAAATAATACTCTTGCAAAGAAGAGTCTTTTCAAAAGTTTAAAAGAACAAGCAAAATCTATGCCATTTCCCCAGGTTAACGTTGACGAGCTTAAAAATTGGCTCAAAAAAAATTACACAGTAAAAAAATGATTATGTATATCTTTTAATTGTTATGTCTTTTATTTATTCATTTGATTAATTGTAAATTTTCTTCTAGCGTAAAATAAATGATACATTATCAAACCTTCTAGCTACTACAGAAATTGAAGGGTTCAATGACGATCAATTTGATCTTATAAAACGAGTGTTCGAATATAAACTCTTGCAGCTTAGAGCAGGACATGATAATCAACTTGATGTATCATTAATGGATGAAAATACATATACATCAACAGTCATATCTCCAGATTTTGAATTTTTAAAAATATGCTTTCCGGGCCTGTTTGTTTCACAATGGTAGGTTAAATGAAGAAGACAAATTTGATTTTATACATGCCAATATAACATAACTTATTCCAACAGGAATGAAAATGACGTTCCATCCTCCAAATGGCGTCGCGAATTAATTTATGGTGTTGGTGCTTTAGCACGTAAAGCTGATGGAATTCTTTTCAATTATGATAACAATCAAGAATTCTTTATATTCGAGAACATTGGACCACCTCTAGTAACAAAGGGTAGTAAGTATCGTCAAGATCTTCTGAAATGCTTTCGCAATTGTGTGGATTCTATATGTAGAACATTCTGGATGGGAGATGGAGACGTAAAGTTGGTATCACAGTATTATGTGCTTGCATACGTGGTGTACAGTAAGTTTTTTTTTTTTTTGTATGTTTTTTATTGAATATTTCACATATATTTATTTAAAAATATTGATAGAAAGTGAAGGTGAGCTATTTAGGGTTAACTTAGCTTCTGACAAAACATTTGCAGTTGAAAGAATCCTGAAAGTAAAATATCCTTTTAAATATACTTCATTCATTAAGAATACTGACATTATTGGTCTCCTTTTTACTGTCAAGGTAATATTTTTTCTTTCTAAAACGACTCCTTAAATTATTTGGTATTAATATTGTTTTCTTCATGTAGTCTGTCTGTGAATCTAACAAGAATATCCTTCATGAATATAACTTAACATGTATGGAAACATCCAAAAGCTTTACAAAAGCACGCGAATGGCTTTGTTTGAATGGGAAGTCACCACAATAGTTGTCACAAGCTATAAATTTTACAAATTTAACATTATAATTTTTTTCATTTAGAGCAAGTCTTATAGAAAATGTTAAACATAATAGAATCACATACTTTTTTTTGTGTCTTTTTAAGTATGTACAGCCTATTTGTTCTAATATGGTACTAATTCTCAGTTATTATTGAAAACTTTTTAATAATATCTATTGCACATACTGGTTTCAAATTAAGAATTTTCGGATTTAAAAAGATTATATTAAAATTTTATTACAAAAATAGTAAAAAAAAAAAAATTAAACATTTGAGTAACTATCACATGAACAGATATTATGGTAACAAAATGGGGCATTATAAAAATGTTACAATTACACAATCACAATCATCATCATTATTATTATTATTATTATTATTATAAATAACTGAGTTTTGATCCCTGAAATCTTTGGTAATACCAATGTTCACTTTGTCTGGTTTTGTTGCAGCATGCCCCATATAATGAAAATGTCACGTGAGGCTGACTTATCGAGAACAATTTACTTATCCTAAAAAGAGGGGTTGGCTGACTTATAAGTTATCGCGACTTTATATAGGTCGGCTGACTTATCAAGGGATTTAAATAGGGAAAAAAAGGGCTGAAAAATTTTGGCTGACTTAGGCCAAAACTGACTTATCAAGGGACCGACTTATCGAGTCTACCTGTGTACCCTCTTTTAAGGTATGTGTTGGAGCATTATCAACTAATAATATAATATTCCTATTTTCATCTTGCATTTTTTTATTTAATTTTTTGAGATAATTGTTCCATATAGAGACTTGCATCCAAGCTGTGTTATTCCAATAATAATCTACTGGTAATGAGTTTTTATTTATTTCTCTCAATGGTCTTGGGTTTTGGTGCCTGTGTATAAATAAGGGGATTAATTTTTCTGTACTAGTTGAGTTACATGTTAAAAGAACTGTAACTATATCCTTATTTTTTTTTGGTTCCTGGAAGTGGTCCAGTTGATAGCCCACAATTAGGTTCCATTTTCCAGAACAAACCAGTCTCATCACAGTCGAAGACATCCTCCAACCTATACTGTTGAAGGACTCCTCTTAAATTTATTCTCATCTGTGAAATCTCACTTATTGGAGCACTTTGGGCTTCTCCATGTTTATTAAATGCTTGAATTGAGAATCTATGCTTAAAATTTTCAAGCCACCCTTGAGATGCTTTAAAGTTATGATGATTTAACAAATCAGCAAAATCTAGGGCCTTTTGTTGAATTATGGCACCTGTGATTGTCAAATTACATTCAAGAGCTTTTTCAATCCACAAGATTAATGCCTCTTCAATATTTATTAAAGGTGAGGGACATAATTTTTTTAATGTTGCTTGATACAAATTTGGATCAACATGAAGCCATTTGTCAGACCTTCTTAAGATATCACTAACTTGTCCTGTACTATAGATGGGTGTCTAAACTAAATTATTTAGACAATGTCTAAAATATAAATTAATTTAGACATTCAGACAATCATGGTCTCAATTGTCTAAAATGCTGAAATTGAATTTTTTATTGGATAATTTACTGAACTTTGTGGATTTTGTGTATATACACGTGACTTTTAGTTGTATTTAAAGCAAATCATTACTATTTATATTAATTTAGACATTTAGACATTTTTGTCTAAATATTATTTTGACTTTAGACAATCCCAAAAACAATTTAGACACCCATCTATAATCATCACCCAAAATATAAAACTGAAGTTTGCGTAGCCTATGTAGAAAGAGGAGTTTGCATATATGGAGAATGATGCTGTTTCATTCATTAAATACAACAAGTTAGCAATGATGACAATAATGGCAATAACTTCTCTAACAATATTTGTAGTAGTTGTAAATCTGGTGGTATGACTAATAAGCAAAAGTATATCAAAGTTTATTAGTGTTCCTTCTATCAATGTGTCCTACAACAAAGGAACTTGGTTCCTTTTATTGTTGTTGTTGTTGTCCTGGAAAAGTAAGTTTCATTTAGATTGGTACCAGTACCAGCAGTATTTGTATTTGTAGATGTTGATTCATTACTATATCAATTCTTAAGGGTTTGAAGTCGAAGTCAGTCTTATCAGAGAACATAGCTTGAATCTTTGTGGTACTGATGAAAGTCATGCAAAACGTTTGGTTCAAAAATTGGTTGCACAATTCAATCACGTGTGTTTTTTGAGAAAATTTTTTTGACTGGACATTTTTTAAAAAACAAAAAATCAAGTAATAATATATCTTTTTTTTTTTTGTGGCAAGTATAATTTTTTAATAATAATAATTATATAATATAAATAACTCTTTATTTATTTTTAATATATATATATATATATATATACATATATATACACACATAGATATATATATAAAAAATATTGTAAATAGTTCAACTTTTCTATATATTAAGAGCAGGAATTAATTTGTTTTATTATTCAATTTTTAATTTAAAAATTTTTTTTTAAATTAAAAAAAAATAAAGATGCTTATAAAATCTAATCCTCATTGTTTTATTTAATTGATGTATAATAATTACATGTATTCTAATTGATTAATTGATAAATCAATCAATAATCTTCTTGCTACTACTAATTGAACAAAATCACCAAATTATCTATACCAACCAGCTGTTAACCCATTTTCTTATTCTATCAATTGTCCCATTGAAAGTCAAAGCAGGACGAACATCAAGATAGAATGAAGCAACACGTTCAGGAAATTTTGGATCTGGTTGACCTGAATAGAAATCAATTATGTAGGTTACATGTTTACCACATCTATCAATTACCCAATCATGTCTATCAAATGGTAATTTATATCTTTTTTGAAAAAATAAATTTATTAAAGAAATATTATTGATGATGAATAATGAATCAATCACACAATTTTAACTAATTAATTACCCTAACAAATTCAAAATTCTTGCTTTTGGTGTAAAATCTTTTGATCTACCTTGAAAATTTATTAATCTTGGACCGCCACATTTGCTATTATAAAAAAAAAAACCAAAAACCTTGATAAAATTCTATCAATCAAAAAGTAAATAAAATATTTTATTACTTACTTTTCATGTAATTTTTCCCATTCCAAAATTTCTTTCCATGCCTTTTCATTCACGGCATTATGTATGGGTACAATAACTTTCATATCCTCAGTATTAGGATTCCAATTTTTGCGTTTCATTGCATTGAAAAACATTTGTTCTGATGGATACACCCAATAATTATTCTTGTTGTCATTATCAATATTATTATTATTATTATTATCTTCATTACCATTACTAACAATATTAGATGAAACACGAGGAATGGAAGAACGTTGACGTGTTGTATTTAATAATGAGTTTTGATTTTGATCTATTGTTATTGATGATGATGATGGTGACAGATTATCACTAGAACATCCTTTTGATGAATCAATCTGATTATTATTATTATTATTATTATTATCACCTATGGGACATTTTGAATTTTTTGATTGTAAAATTGATATCAAATTATTATCATTGTCATTATTATTGTTGTTGTTATTATTATTATTATGATTTATAGGACAACCTCCTGTCGAAATTTCTGTCATGGTTTTTTTTTTTGAGGACAAGCAGAAATTTGGCCAAATTTCTAAAATTGGTCAAGTACAGGAATATCTTTCTAATTTTGTGACAAGACAAATTTTTTTGCATATTCAAAGAAACTGGCAAATAAATAAATCTCAGCTTGACCAGGTTGCTAACAATTGAGCTGAGCTTTTAATTCACCTAAGCGGAATTGGAATTAAGGCTTCAACTTATCAAAGCTAAAAAAAAATATTTCATTTCTTGTAACGCATTTTGTCATGATTCCAATGAATCTGACATTTGTTGGTTTTACAAATTCGGACAGATCAAAATCGTTATTCTCCATCAAAATTCCTCTCACAGCAACATAAAGAACAAGTTTGACTGGTGTAAAACTCAAATTGACATCTTTTTTTTTTTCAATTCAGCAAGAAGTTGTTTGACAGGACCTGGTAGGTGGCCTCTTGAGAACTTGAGAACTAGCCATCTCCAAAAGCAACAACTGTGTTTGAATTTTTTGTCACTTTTGCATAAAGTCTTCTCTGGCATTATGAAAATAATTAAGGTATTTTATTGTTGAAATTGTGCATGGGGGTTGGGATTCCAAGCATAAAGTTTGAATATCTTGATTGTTCCTATACCAAATTTCCCTTTTCATTAATTCTGCAATTGCATGCCATTCTTTGTGGCTGCACTTAATATTATCTTTCTTGCCTGCCAGTAAAATGTCTTTGTGTTTGGATCTAAACCACAATTCAATCATTTCTAATTCCCATTCTTATCATAGCCACGATCATTAATTTTGTTGCTGTTAATGATGATATTGTTGTTGGTAGTATTGTTGTCTTGTTTAGTTATTAGTAGTTACATGATTTCATGCATTAGTTGTATCTGAATTGGAAATCAACTGTCCATTCAAGATTCAGTGGTTGATATCTAATGTAAATTGTATCATGTATATTGTTTAAATCTGGTAATTTGATATTGTCAACTTGTTGTAATTCATGTGATTCATATGAGTTCATCAATTTAACTATTATCAATCATTTCCTTTATAGCATGACAACATAATTAATAATGTGTCCTTGACATTTAACATTGGTAGTCATGATTTATAATTAATAAACATATTTTATTGGCCAAAATCATGTAAAGTCTATTATTTGTAAGTATTCAAACAAGATAAAAGAATCCAAGAATCCTTTATACCAGAAACACGACCCAATTGATAGGTCTTAACCATCTAGTTATTATTATATATATTATTTTTAAAGTAATTTTTTTTTAAAAAAAAAATTGTTTATTACAATGTTAGAAACCATTTAAATATTTATAATTTTTATTTTTATTTACTCAGAGTGGATGATTCTTTTGTTGACAATAAAACACTTCAAATAAAGATGATGATAATAATGTAACAGATACTTCTAATGAAGA